CAAGAGTAAAGTACATTAAAGCAATCAATTGCCGGGATCATTTTGGTCTCAAAATGTTTCTAGAATTATTTGCTCTAAGAATATCCAGAATCCGATATTTTACTCATCGTTTACGTCGAAAAATTCGACCCACAGTGTGGCTGTGCTGGGTCGCGTACAAGAGTAAAGTACATTAAAGCAATCAATTGCCGGGATCATTTTGGTCTCAAAATGTTTCTAGAATTATTTGCTCTAAGAATATCCAGAATCCGATATTTTGCTCATCGTTTACGTCGAAAAATTCGACCCACAGTGTGGCTGTGCTGGGTCGCGTACAAGAGTAAAGTACATTAAAGCAATCAATTGCCGGGATCATTTTGGTCTCAAAATGTTTCTAGAATTATTTGCTCTAAGAATATCCAGAATCCGATATTTTGCTCATCGTTTACGTCGAAAAATTCGACCCACAGTGTGGCTGTGCTGGGTCGCGTACAAGAGTAAAGTACATTAAAGCAATCAATTGCCGGGATCATTTTGGTCTCAAAATGTTTCTAGAATTATTTGCTCTAAGAATATCCAGAATCCGATATTTTGCTCATCGTTTACGTCGAAAAATTCGACCCACAGTGTGGCTGTGCTGGGTCGCGTACAAGAGTAAAGTACATTAAAGCAATCAATTGCCGGGATCATTTTGGTCTCAAAATGTTTCTAGAATTATTTGCTCTAAGAATATCCAGAATCCGATATTTTGCTCATCGTTTACGTCGAAAAATTCGACCCACAGTGTGGCTGTGCTGGGTCGCGTACAAGAGTAAAGTACATTAAAGCAATCAATTGCCGGGATCATTTTGGTCTCAAAATGTTTCTAGAATTATTTGCTCTAAGAATATCCAGAATCCGATATTTTGCTCATCGTTTACGTCGAAAAATTCGACCCACAGTGTGGCTGTGCTGGGTCGCGTACAAGAGTAAAGTACATTAAAGCAATCAATTGCCGGGATCATTTTGGTCTCAAAATGTTTCTAGAATTATTTGCTCTAAGAATATCCAGAATCCGATATTTTGCTCATCGTTTACGTCGAAAAATTCGACCCACAGTGTGGCTGTGCTGGGTCGCGTACAAGAGTAAAGTACATTAAAGCAATCAATTGCCGGGATCATTTTGGTCTCAAAATGTTTCTAGAATTATTTGCTCTAAGAATATCCAGAATCCGATATTTTGCTCATCGTTTACGTCGAAAAATTCGACCCACAGTGTGGCTGTGCTGGGTCGCGTACAAGAGTAAAGTACATTAAAGCAATCAATTGCCGGGATCATTTTGGTCTCAAAATGTTTCTAGAATTATTTGCTCTAAGAATATCCAGAATCCGATATTTTGCTCATCGTTTACGTCGAAAAATTCGACCCACAGTGTGGCTGTGCTGGGTCGCGTACAAGAGTAAAGTACATTAAAGCAATCAATTGCCGGGACCATTTTGGTCTCAAAATGTTTCTAGAATTATTTGCTCTAAGAATATCCAGAATCCGATATTTTGCTCATCGTTTACGTCGAAAAATTCGACCCACAGTGTGGCTGTGCTGGGTCGCGTACAAGAGTAAAGTACATTAAAGCAATCAATTGCCGGGATCATTTTGGTCTCAAAATGTTTCTAGAATTATTTGCTCTAAGAATATCCAGAATCCGATATTTTGCTCATAGCTTACGTCGAAGGATTCGATCCACGGTGTGGCTGTGCTGACTTAAGACTAAAGGTGGCACGTCCGTCTCTGTGAAGTTAGCATCTCGACTTTAAAAATCGGAAATTTTAATAACAGTACTGCGTGCACCCGCAATAGTTCTAGAGTTCCTGATAGGTTTCATCAATAGTACTGTTGAATTAGGCCAAAAATTTTAAAAAATAAAAATATGTGGTGCTAACTTCGCGTGGCACCGTAAGATTTGAAAATGTCGATTTGTATGACGGAATCTCACAGTACTCGAAGAGTACTACAGTTCCTGATCGGTTTTAGTAACACTACCCACCTTTTTAATATGTTTAAACAATTTTTCGATCCGCGCGCTGGCACCACACATCGGGTATGTTAAGTTAGCACACCAACTATAGTACTCAGGAGTTCTGATTAGAGTTCCCACTTCCTTTTGACGAGACGAAGAGTTCCCTATAGTTAATAACAAGAGTTCCGCTCAATAAACATTTTTTTTACATTTTTTAAAAATGGGGTGCTAACTTTTTATCGAATTTCGAGGTGGAATAGTTCTGAGCGGCTTAATAGCTTCAATTTGCGATTGCCTAGAGTTCCTGATATGTAAAAAAAATTTTCGAATATTAAAAAAAAAATAAAAATTTTTGAAAAATTAATTTTTAGATACAATAGTTCTGATGATAATTCCTGCTTCTTTTTGACGATACGAAGAGTTCTCTATGATTTTTAATGACATATGCGCTTAATAATCATTTTTTAATAATTTTTTAAAAATGGGGTGCTAACTTTTTAACGAAATTCAAGATCGCATAGTTCTGATCAGCTTAACAGAACTATTTTGTGAATACCTAGAGTTCTTGATATATAAAAAACATTTTTGAAATATAATAAAGTTTTAAAAAAATAGTAGAAATCTTTGAAAATTTTTTTGAGAGTACCGAGTAGTTCTGAGTAGCGTTTCGTATAGTACTCGACGAGTTCTCTCGAAAACTGTAAGGTGAGAAAGCGATTGGATCAACGGTTTGCAAGATACAACGATATTTGTCAGATCAACAATTCTTAAAGTGAGTATATCTCGGAAACCGTCGGTCCAATCGCTCTGAGCCCTAATACTTTTCGACAGAACTCGCCGAGAACTGTCCAGAACTCCGATCGGAACTACTCGGTACTCCCAAAAAATTTAGCCTTTAAATTTTTTCGAGGACCCACGTTGGAAAATTTTTTGGGAGTACCGAGTAGTTCTGATCGGAGTTCTGGACAGTTCTCG